ATTCTAATTCCTCAACCTGGGAACATGTTACCTTTACATGGCAAAAGGGATTTCACAGGTGTGATTAAACTAAAGATTTTGAGAAAGATGATCCTGGATTATTCAATTGGGACCTAAATGCAATCACAAGAGTCCTTAGAAGAGGGAGGCAAAAAGGCCAATGAGAAAGAAGTTAATCCAACAGCTGCATCAGAGATTCAAATGACATGGCCAGGAACCAAGGAATTCTGAAAGCTCAAAGAAGCAAGGAACAATTCTCCCTAGCGCCTCAGGAGGACAAAGTCTTGCTGACACTTTGATTTTAGCTCCTTAAAACTCATTTTGGACTTTGAGTCACAAGAACTCTGAGAGTAAGTTTGCATTGTTTTAAGACACAGAACTGGTGATAATTTATTACAGCAACAGTAAGAAACTAATACGAAGTCTTATAGCTTCTAGCTACTCCTCTTGGAATCCCTCTAGGAGCCCTATCAACCAAGCATTATAACCATTCTGAGACTGTCATGCTAGTGAGGACACTTACATCTGCTTGGCTCAACAGTTCCAGTTGGGACCATGCGAGTTAGCCCATATTGGGCCTTCTGACCAGTCCACCCTGGTTCTTTACCCTCTTTCTGGGCCTAGATGGGGCTTCACCTTTTTCCTCTTTTATTATCTCAACTAAGGCACTGAAATATCTTTCTTCATGTACCTTAACTTGAAGTAAGAAATGTTTTTCTCTTTGGGCAGGAGCCAGGATCATCCCCAATCCATCCCACAGGCTAACAGAGTGACAGACTGCTCCCTTTCCCACATGATCCAGAGCAACAGGCTGAGAAAACTAGGGGTTCTGTCACTGAAGGTCCAAGATCCCTAGCCGACCAAGACTCCACAACAAACCTTAGTTATCCAACTTAATATTAGCTTTTTATCTTCTATCTTTTCATTGTCAAAGACCCTTTAGGCTACATGGCAAGTTCCCAAAACAAAGCTCTTCATCCTACTTTAAATAAACAATCAGAGAAAGTGAAGAGATACAAGATAAAATTATATGGTTCATATACTTGGATGTAGATAAATCGTAAAAATAAATTTTAAAAGTACATAAATTCCATTTGTACAGAAAAGAAAAATGTAAGCTAATTATGGCTTATTATTGATGGAAAAACTGCCTAATCACCTCTATTCATCACTTATTTGCTATATGTAAAAATATTCCTTGCCAGGTGCCAGTGATTCATGCCTGTAATCCTAGCTACTTGGGAAGCTAAGATTAGAAGGATCAGGGTTCAAAGCTAGCCCAGGCAAATAGCTCAAGAGATCCCATCTCCAAAATAACTGGAACAAAATGAACTAGAGGCTCAAGTTCATGAAGTTCAATGAACTAGTAGCTCAAGCAGTAGAGCACCTGCTTTGCAAGTGTGAAGCCCTGAGTTCAAACTCCAGTCCCACCAAAAAAATTCCCTTAAAAATATCTTAAGTGCACATTTAACAAAAATATTCCCTAAGAATCTTTTTTTTTCGAATCATGTATCTCATTATGCCTCCCCAATAGCCAGCTGTTGTCCCTCTGTATAACTCTATAATTAGCAATAATTATGATGCCTTAAGTAAGTGTGGAAGCCATTCCTAACCTGACTCCCACTGTCTGTTAATTCACACCCTATGTGGTACCCTCCCACAATGTACCACAACAAAAGAGATGCACTGTTACTTCTAAAACTGGCTCTCATGCACACTGTCACGCTCTCTCTCTCTCCTTCCTCTCTCCCTTTCTCTTTTTCTCCCTCTCCTTCCTCTCTCCCTTTCTTTTTCTCTCTCTCCTTCCTCTCTGCCTCTTTCTAGAGGAAACCACCAGCCATGTCTTGAAACTACTCAGGAATTCCTGCAGAGAGGTCACACAGAGCAAAGTGACAGTTCTAGCCAACCATGAGAACGAGTATTCATGGAAATGGATATTTCAGCCCCAGTCAAGACTTCAGATGATGTAGTCCTAGCTGAAAGCTTGATTTCAACTTCATCAGACGATGGAACCAAAAATATCCAACTAAGCTGTTCCAGAATTCCTAAGCATCAAAATACTGTGAGATTCTTGTTTTAAGCCTCTGTGTTTTAGGGTAAGTTGTTATATAGCAATGGATAACCACTAAAGCAATAAGCAATGCCATCTTTCAAAATCAAAATGCTATTTTAAAAGTTTAAAAACTTATAAATAGCAATATTAATTACAAAATTAGGAAGAAAGTTTGTTAAACATCTTGGCTAATATTAAAAAGCAGCTGTCATAATGTCAGCATGCCAGTCCTACTTACAACAATAAGCCAACAATATACTACCAGCAGAATATAGCCTGCTTCCTGAAGAAACAAAATCAAGCTGAAATCAAGTTGAACAGATAAGAGTACAACGTAAGCTTTTTTAAAATTAGGAAGGAAATCAGTTTGCAATTTCAAAATCACTATATCCTACTTAACTATGACAAGGCATCCCACAAAGTCTGCCTTATCTATTACAAATTGATTCCAAAACTTTATCTGTAGCTAATTCTACCACATGCCTACTGATAAACACATAAAGAGAGATAAGAGCAAATATACCAAATTCTAACTGTAGATTTCACTAACCATGTCAAAACACAGATGACTTTTTTCTGTAATATTTCCACAACAAAGGCAAAACACTTCATTAGATCATATAAGCACCCTTTCCAAGGACCACAGATTTCCTACAATAATAAAGTCTTTTAACACTGAGCTTATTTCATTAGAAAGTGAAGTTAATACACATACATTCAGTATGTTAGTTGAGTACTTAAAATATTATTGAAAAACAACAACAAAAGAAAAACATGGGAGGTTTTCATTTGTCTGACAGGGAAAAAAATGTTGATTTCAACAATTTTAAAAAGAGCAGTATGCATTCCCAACACAATAAAATTCTTCTTAACTTAGTTAATTATCACTTAATTTACTAAGTGATAATAACTAAGTGTATTGATATCGTAAACAGTAAGTGAACACCAAGACTACACCAAAAATTAAAGCAACAGCATCTCTAAGTGTCATTTAATTCAAAGGGCAATAATTTAGTCAGTAACATCAGCCAAAATAGCTGGATTAAACTCTGAAACTCAGAGTTAACAGGAGATATATATTAGACCCACACATTGTTTCATACATATTTGCCTATTTCTCCTGAACAAAGACAATTACTAGACGCTCTCTCTCATATAGCTTACATAATTAAGTTTAATTGATCTAATTATTGCCATTGGGAGACTGAAGCTTTTAGTTCCTTTCCAGAATATTTAAAGCATGTTAAATTTAAAAATATTATCTTCACCAAAAAATGTATTATTCCTACTGATTCACTGCTGTCCTGTGTGAAAACAATAATGCCTGAGATAAAATTTATCCAGTCATATTGCGGAACATGCTTTTCAATGACTGCCATAAAATCACACTCACAGTGCCCTCCAACCTTGTAACATGTCAACAATGCAGAAACTACTCTAGAAAAAGCAAAATATGTGTTCAAATAGTCTAGCCTATGGAGAAAGACCACAAAAATTAACATTCTAGTATATGACAATTTATATTGTTTTCCAAAGAGCACATTTTCATAACTGAGTATTTTTAAATCACATACTGAGATTATGTAGATTAAAATTTGGTAAATAACATCATGATTAACTATTTGATAAGTGAATTGATTTGGGATATTACATTTTCCTTGAAAAGCACTGTGGGTAAACAATGTCTAGAATTGTTCAATATTTTAAAATGTTCCACAGCTCCTTGAAGTGAGAGAAAAAAAAAGAAAGGTGTGGTTAAGCAACTAACAAAAAGTTTCTGAAGTAGTCAAGATAAGTCATGCTTATGTGAGGAAAATAGCTCCTCCATTCCTGCACATATGTCCAAGGCACACTTTCAAGTAACACTGGCAAATCAGGTGCCATGCTCCAAATCAACGTGATCTAAATTTGCATCCCTGGGATGTTTACATACCTACCAACTTCAAAAAGAAAAAAAGTAAACTTTTAAAACACTTTCAAACCCTTCAGAATGTAATATAAAATAGCAATGTGTGTGATACGCGAAACAGTATTTAAGTGACAAAAATGTTTTAAGACTGAATTCATTTTGATCCTTTGCTACTTTCAGGCTTTTTCCCCCTGAACTTTCATCCTTTTCACCTAGACTCAAATTCCGACCTACCACATTCTGCACTTGTTTTAAAAATATCCTCTTTTAACATGTTTGCTTAAAATAGCTTTGCTTTCATCCTTCCAAACTACTTTTAAGTCTGCTTTTTATTGTACAGCCACTGACTCCTCTGCCACCAAATACCTTATTTATTTCATTCTTCCAAACTCTGGGGAAGCAAAACCTGGCGTGGAACTTGAACCTCTCAGGGCTTCCAAGTACAGATCTAGCAGTTGCTGGCTACATCCATTCTTTCCATTTCCCAGAAAAAAGTCTCCTCGGGCTGTTTGCATTAATACAACCAGATGTGTGTGCAAAGAAGCAACTGAGTAGCAAGCCCATCACTGCCTTAGGAAGCGACACCCCTTCTGCTGGGGGTGGGGCGGGGAGAGAGACACCCATCCATCTTCACTTGATAACCGTTCAAGAAAGTTTCTTCCTGCCTGGCGGGTTGGTTGCGCACTTTTGGGGAACAGACAGGGCAGGCCACCTGCAGGGGTGCACGTTCCCAAGAAGTAGCTGCAGTGACTTCAGGGCAAGAGGACTGGGGCTCCGGGGAGAGGCACAGGACAAATCCCAACAGTGTCAGCTGGCATTTCAGGCAGAAACTCCGCACTCTGAAGCTGGGGAGGAAACAGCCAGGCTTGGCCCCAGCTGCCTGGGACGATCCGTGCCTGCCCTACCTGCTTTGGGGACACTCGGGAGGTGGAAAGCCCTCCCCCACCGCCACATCTCGGCCGTCCCAGGCGCGGGTGGAGCAGCTGTGAGCGGAGGGGGGCGGGGAGGGGGATCCCGGGGAGCCCCTACCCTCCTTACCTTGGGCGATGGCAATGGACTCGAAGCGGTGGAGCTCCTTAAGCAGGCAGCTCCGCTCGGTGGAGTGCAGGCTGTAGATGAAGTCGCGCGCGCCTTGCGCCGTGTTCAGCGCCTCCATGGGCTCCTTCTTGGGGTGGGTGCCCAGCCGCCGGGGGCCGCCGGGGGTGGCGAGCGCCAGCGGTCCCCGCCCGCAGCAGCACCAGGACGGCGGGCGGGGCGCGGCGGCCGGGCCCGGCCTCAGGCTGCGCGCGGTCCGGCTCCCCAGCAGCGGCAGCAGCCGGGACATGGCGGGCGGAGGAGCGGGACCCCCGCGGCGCAGTCCGGGACGGCGACTTCTGGAGAGGCTGAACCCGGCAGAGGGAGCTGAGCTCAGCCCGACCCCGCCCCGAGGGGGTCCTGACAGGCAGCAGAGGCGCCCCGCACCATGCACCCCGCGGGCCCGCGCGGCGGCCGCCTCCCTTTCCGTTCCCCCCGCCCGCTCCACCCGTCGCTTCCAAAAGGCCCGCGAAGGTTCCGGCCCCTCCGAAGAGAAAAACTTTCTCTGAGGCGGCCGGGCCTGGAGCGGGCCGGCGGCGGGCGGATGGTGAGGGCGGGCGCCTCTCGGCTAAGGAGGAGCGGCGCGGGCGGGCGGGCTCGGCGAGTGTTTTGTGTCTGTCAGTCTGATCTTCCAGACGGATGAGTCAGCCACGCAACGCCCTCCTCTCCGGCCCGCCTTCCCACCCTCTTGCCTCCCCTTGTCCCCGCTCCGTAGAGCTCCGGTGCCCTCAAAGCAACCACGCTCTCAGGCCGCAGCCGCCGCTGCTACCCCTAGCGGCAGAATAAGGGGTAACAGCGCAGGGCGCTGGGAAAGGGGCGTGGAGTGGGCGTGGCCACGCAGGCGCAGTGTAGGCCCCGCCCCCTCGGGAAGGGGCGTGCACTCTCTATGCTGGCATCCGCCGCGGTTAAGTCCATTGTAGAGAGTAGAGCAAAAGAGTTTTGTACCCTACGTCCGGCCAGGTTGTGCGGCTGCCATTCGGTCCATCCCAGCAACATCCTAAATCTGGGGCTGGTTCTGAGCGGTGTCCCAGGGGGCCCCCCATCGTGCCAGGCACTGGCAGGGCTGAGCCGTTCGTTCACAGCCTGGTAAGGTCACAGCGCCCTGCTCTGGCCTTTGGGGAATGAAGCGCCCGAGCCACGCCCTTTGCCAAATCAGCGCCCACCGCGGCCTGACACTCGGCGCTCGAGCCCTCTTTCTGCATGCTCCCGAGAGAAGCCGGTTCTACCAGTTCCCAAGCAGGAGGGTTTCAGACCGAGACCTGGAGGAAGCGGAGAACACCCTTCCCCGTCCTGAAGACGGCGACTTGCTTGCAGATTTGCTAATGCTGGAGCCAGAGGCAGGATTGTCCTAGACCTTTTCTGGATGTTGCTTGTGATTTTTTTCCCATTCTCATTGCAGTGGCAGAAAGAATTCTGAGATTCTCCACGATTTCCACGTGTTCAGGCCCAGATCCAAGGGTCCCCATTCCTTGAACCTTCCCCTTCTCTTTTACTAAGGGAGATCACTGCTTTATCGGAATCCGTCTAATGACACTTAGGCACGCTGTCTTATAATAAATCTACTTAGACAGTAAGTCCGCTCAAGTGTGATCAAGATCTAAATCCCATGCTTATCATAGGTACTGCTGACCTAGCCCACAGCCTTCGTATGTAATAAATGTACTATAAATATGTAAGTGCAAAACAGCCCACCCCCTCCAAGGGTGAAATATGAAAATTCAGACAATTCAATCTCAGATCAAAAATATTTGAAAAAAAAATGCATTTTTTCCTGTCACAGTCCCTTCACAATACAATGTAGCAACTATTTACACAGCACTTACATTGTATAGGTATTATAAGTAACCCAAAAATGATCTAAAGTATGCCAGAAGGCCTAGGCTTCTGTTTCAACCAGCCCTCCAGCTAAAGCTGAAATACACAAAACTTTGAGAACCTCTGCTTTAGCATGTAAAAAGATTATTTTTTAATTTCATCTCTGCGGGGTAATAATGGCAAGAATGCTTTCTGCTGGGCATGGAGGTACACACCTGTAGTCCCAGCTACTTGGGAAACTGAAGGAAGGACCACTTGAGTCCAGAAGTTCAAGGCCAACCTGGGCAACATAGGGAGACCCTCTTTCAAAAAACAAGAGGTTTTCTGTATGGAAAATACAAGCTTTGTGAATGGAGAAACTGTATCTTTCTTGTCTTTGAAACGGCCTCCCTACCCCAGGTGTTGTGAAATCCTCTGCAGAGTTATATTATTGTTGTAAACCTGAGATTTTTGCCCCATCCTTTCCACAATACTCCCTATGCCTAAGAGATGCTGATTATTTGTGTTTGGGTTGGGGCCTGGGAAGTGAGATTTGAAAAAGCTTCTCTGGAAGCTGTTTCCTAAATAGCAGTTGAGTGTGTGGCTCTCAGAGACAGATTGCTAAAAATGCAATCTCTGAGTCAACCATTGCCTAGCTATGTGTTGGCACAGTTGTGATCCCCAATGAATTAGACCTTTTGTTATCTAATCCCTTGTGTGGTCCACTTACACTAACAGTGGCTTACCCATGCAACTTGCTTTGCCCAATAAAAGGGACATGGCAAACCTGATCTGATCACCATTTGTTCATTGGGGCTTACTGTAATGCCTTTGCTGGATTAAGAACATTCAATTCTTTTATAAGATAATAAGAAAAACTAAAATGTGTAAACAAGACACTTATGAAAGACATGTTACACCTTGAATAAATGGATATGTGTTGAACATAGATAAAAAGGATACCTCACATACACAGTGGTAGAAAGATGAATAAACTTTAAATATTAAAAAGCACAAAAGAAGTGCCTATTTCTTTCCACAGCTTTGGGCTAGGGATGTAGCTCTGTGGTAAGGCACTTGCCTAGCATGTGCAAAGCCCTGGGTTCAATCTCCAGCATTGAAGAAAAAAAAAAAAAAAGAGGACAGATTATACTATCGCTAGATTATGATTCAAATTGAACTCAGTTTTTTTTATTTTTGGAGGTACGGGGTTTGAACTCAGGACCTTGTGCTTGCCAGATAGGCACTCTACAGTTTAAGCCATATATGTCTTCCCTACATTGGACATCTACTGGTGTAATCTCTACCCAAGCAAAGCACATAAATTCCCCCAGGAACTCAGCCAGCTAATGGCCACCTACAGTTATGACCAGACAAACTTGCCCCTCATCTCTCCCTTTTGGTCCTTATAACTACACTATCCGCAGAGAATACTATTACAGCAGAGCAGTGCAAGGTATCTGAACATTGCATAATACAGAATCTAGGCACCGTGGTCCTCTCTGCCCATCCTAAGCTTGTTAATACACACTATCTCTTACCCTTGCTTCTTACCCTTTTATATTGTTTGGTAAACCATTCTGATTACTATTACTGCTCATTGAGTGAACACATTACAACAAAACTTAGTGGCCTAAATAGCCAGGGTTTGTAAATTTACTTTTTATTTTTGTTGGTGTTAGGGTTTGAACTCAGGGCCTCACACTTGCTAGTTAGATGCTCTACCACTTGAGCCACACTGCCAGCACTTTTTTGCTTGGTTACTTTTGAGATAGAATCAGGCCAGCCTGGACCATGATTCTCTTATTTATGCTTCAGTGCATAGCTGGGGTGGCAGGTGCACATCACCGTGCTCAGATTTTTATTGATTGTACCAACTGGCCTAGAGCTCCAATCCTCCCAAGCCTAGGATTATAGGCTTGAGCTACTGTATCCAGCAATAGCCAGTTTAATTTACTCATGATTTTGTGGTTCAGAAACTTAGGACAGGCTTACTTCAGCAGCTTTCTTGAAGTCCCTTCTTTTGTGGCAATCAGATGTCAACTAGAGCTACAGTCATTTGAAGATTCAACTGGGTTAGACATGTAAAATGTCTCACTCACATGGCAGATAGTTGATGTTGGTTGTTGACTGGATGGCAGCTCAGAGCACCTTCACACAGTCTCTTCCTCATGGCAAACTACTTTCCTGGCAGCTGACTTTCCCCAGAGTGAGAGTCTGTAAAGAATCAGATCCAAGCCTTTTCTGACCTATCCTGGGAAGTCATGCAGCATTACTTGTATTATGTTCTACCAGCTACAAAGCAAACCGCTAAGACCAGCCCAGGTTCAAGGCAAGGATCTATACCCCACCTCTCAGTGGGAACCATGCCAAAGGATGTTAAGGCTCAAATGGAAGAGGGACGGAAGGAGAGTCCAGAAAGCAAACTTGACCTGGGTTCAGCTCAGCCTGCGCTTCAGCTTTAAAGGTGGCAAACATCATGCCTCAGTTAACAATCACAGCCTTCTCCTCATGAAAAATTACTACTGAGTCATCACCTGAGGTAGCTGTATCATTTAATGCTCACCAGAGTTCCTAGTTTCCCTGCTACTAGCAGGACACTAGGCTGTTTGCTGTCTACCACTCAGGAAGTTATACACCCAGCTGCTGTCCACTGTAAAATCCTTGAAATTGTTACTTCGCTTAGTGGACCTTTAGCCATTTCTTTTGCTAAGGAATTTTCAGTTACCTTATTGTATTTCTCATTCATCAGGTTCTTGCCTTAGTATTCTAACCCAGAAAGGCCCTGACCCATTAGAGTTGTGATAAATTATTTCTGCTTCACAATGAAATGAGAAATTTTTACTAGAGATATTTTTAAAAGGCTTAAATAAATGGAGGGAACATTTTGGAAAACTCAGTGATATAAGACATCAATTCTCTGCAAATATATTAGTCAGAGTTCTCCAAAGACACAGAAGCAACAGGATATATACAGATGTGTAGAAAGACAGTTATTAAGAGGAATTGACTCATGCAATCATCAAGCTGAGAATTCCCTTGACCTTGCAAGTTGGAAGCCCTCAAAAGCCAATGATGGTTCCAGGCCCAAGTTCTTAAGAACCAAGGAACCAATGATGTAAAGCCCAGTTCAAGTCAAAGGCCCAAGAACCAGGACACTTGCCAGTGTCTGAGAGCAAGAGAAGAGAGATGTCTAGCTCAAGCAGAGAGAAAAATTCATCCTTCATCTTCCTTTTGTTTTATTCAGGCCCTCGGTGAATTGGATGATGCCCACTAACAATTAGCAAGGGCTATCACTTTTCTTTTTTTTTTTTCTTTTTTTTTCTATGCAAGTATTTATTGTTATTCCATTCCATCTAAAATGGACACTTTTTTATTGTCTTATTATTCATATGTGCATACAAGGCTTGGGTCATTTCTCCCCCCTGCCCCCACCCCCTCCTTTACCACCCACTCCGCCCCCTCCCTCTTCCCCCCACCCCCTCA